ACACTTATAGCATGAAGGCCTACCTAGCTTGCTCCTGCAGTCATATGGCTGAGGGCAGGCAAAACTTGGGGGCATCTGAACCCCAAGCCTCCGGGCTTGGGCCAGCACATAGGATGCCTGTCAAAAGACTTTGGAAATATCTGAAGCCTCTGGTGGGGGTGGAGGATGTTTGCCAGTTGTAGGGCCCCTTATGGTTCTGGACTGACTCATGGATTTGGACTTAATTTCAAGTCCAAATCCATGAATAAAATTCATGGATTTATTCATGTGCCCTGAATAAAATTGCACGTTAGGCTGATCCCTGTGGAGCATCTACAGTGGTACACAGAAGCTTAAGATACAGAAACTGCTTTACTGTGTTTCCTCACTTATAACACTTATCCCAATTTCCAGCAGTTGATTTTTGGAGAAAAAAAGTTGTGCGTTGTATGCAAGAATAATACAGAGATTTTTTTTTTTTTTTTTAAGGCCAGGGGGACATGTTTTCAATGTAGCAACAAGCAAGCATGAAATGAATGAGAGAGGCTGTAGATTGCAATAGGAAGTTTTTGCTTTGATGCATTATCTTTGATCTGTAAAATTGTGCAGGATTTTGAGGAAATCTGGAAAAATATTTAGCAAGATTCCAGCTGCCTTTAAAACTACATCAGGTTCATACCAAGCCTGTGGTAGAACATTGCGCTAGAGGTCTAGAGATGGGGGCTCAACAACAGCAGTTAGCTGCTCTTCCTTGTATTTGGGAAAGATACTCTTCTTTGGGAGGCACAAGGAAACAATGAGCTCTTCTGTTTACCTTTTTAAATATGTAAGCTTCATAACTTGCTAGTGACCAGAGTCTCCGAAGATATAGGAATGTATCACTCACTTCACAAATGGAGCAACAAAGGGTCACTTCTGGAAGATTTTTCAATTTTGATTAAATTTCTACTATGACAAATGTCATCCACTTAGCTGCACTGTCATTCAAAACAAATGTATAAAATCTGTGTCCTTGGCTATGTCCTCTCTGTAACCACTAGATCATACTCTCCTTGAGTTGTATACTGTATAACAGCCACAGTTCCTTTTTCCCAGTGTTTTTCTGCTGTCTAGAAATAGTTGCATAAACCTCTGGGAAGGTCTGAAATCTGTTCCTGTCTAATAGATAGCCTGCAGAGAGAAGAACAGGGCATTGTTGCTACTGATTACTACATTAACTCAAGTGATACAGCTCTGTGCTGCATAACCAGTGGTCCTGGTTTCTACCTGGTTGGTGTCTTTGGGATCACCATGGTTACACATGATGCAGTGCTAAGGCTCAGGTTGAAAAGTCAAACATTTAAAAGAAGGATGGATAAAAATAGATATTTAAATACAAAAAAAAGTTTAAATGAGTTTTTAATTTATTTTTTAAATGTACCTATTTGTATTTTAATTTGAAAATATGACAGTTTAAACTTACTAGAATCTAATTATCAGTTAATTTTAAATTGAAAAAATAAGACGCAGATTCATAGATGCTAGGGTCGGAAGGGACCTCAATGGATCATCAAGTCCAACCCCCTGCATAGGCAGGAAAAGGTGCTGGGGTCATGTAACCCCAGCCAGGTGCTTGTCCAGTCTCTTCTTGAAGACCCCCAAGATGTGGGAGAGCCAGATTCTGGCAACCCTAACCAGGAAAAAGTTATTTCTGATGTCCAACCTAAATCTGCTCTCCTATCAGCTTGTGGCCATTGTTCCTGGTTATTCCAAGGGGTGCCCTGGTAATCAGAGCATCTCCTATTTCCTGCTGTCCTCACCTGGTGAGTTTGTATACTGGCACAAGGTCTCCCCTCAGTCTTCTCTTGCAGAGGCTGAAAAGGTCCATGTCCCCCAGTCTTTCCTCATAAGGCCTTCCCTGCAGGCCTCTAACCATACGAGTGGCCCTCCTCTGGACCCTCTCAAGGTTGTCCACATCCCTCTTGAATTGTGGTGCCCAAAACTGGATGCAGTCCTCCAGCTGTGGCCTGACCAATGCTGCATAGAGGGGAAGCATCACCTTCCTGGACCTGTTCGTGATGCACCTACTAACGCATGACAAACTGTGGTTAGCTCTGCTAATTACTTCATCACATTGACAACTCATATTCATCTTAGAGTTGACAACAACTCCGAGAGCTCTTTCCGCCTCTGTGCTGCTGAGAAGGTCATCCCCCAGGCTGTAGGTGTGCTGGGGATTCCCTTTCCCTAGGTGCAGCACCTTGCACTTGTCCTTGTTGAACTGCATCCTATTGTTCCCTGCCCGCTTCTCTAAGCTGTCCAGCTGTGCCTGGATTCGGTTTCTTCCCATCTGTGTGTTTACTTCGCCCCATAGTTTTGTGTCATCAGCGAATTTGGATAGAGTGCTTTCGCCAAAACTTTAAAAAGAACCAAACCATTGAACTGGTAAAACTGTTCGTAAAAATATGGAGCCAGAGTTGTATGAAGTTCTCAAGCAACTTTTGGCAATATTAACCTCTTTCGCAGGTGCAGAGAGAGATTTGCTGTACTTTACTTGATTCAGATGGTTCTGATCAATTATTACTTCATTTAAAGTTTAAACAGAATGGGATTAGAAAACTTGTTTTTTCCTCTTTCAATCTAGAAATAAAAACTAGATACATGAGGATGAGATACATTAGTTCTAAAATCTTGAAGAGTACAGCAATAACAAACAATTAATTTATTAATTATGGATAATTAAAACATAACTCTTTTTTTCTTTGGTATCCAGAACTTATTAGAAATTTTCTTTAATGAAAAAAATTAAATATTTTTGCACATTTAAATAGCTTTGAATTTTCATTCAAAATCACCTTGACAAAACTATAGTAAGATATTCAGCATCTAGTAAATCAGAAATAGGTTTCTCAGTTATGATCATGATAGATTCTTATATTTTAGGTTTTTGGGTTTTAAGCTACTTAATAGCTTAAATAAATGTGTATGGGCTGGATGTGGTGTATCCTCTGCGTTAGCAAAAAATACCATCAAATATTGTGACAAGGCTATATCTAGTTGCAAACCAACATGTTTTAATGCTTGTACCACTGAGAATCAGAAAATAAGTTAGAAGTATAAATGCGAAACAAGATTAAAATTCATTTAAATCAAGGTTTCCTGCTTGGTGACTTTAAATCATTAAATTGGATGATCAAAATTGGTTATTTACTGATGTAAACCCTGGAAATGTCAAGTTTAAAGCTGTTTGTACAACTTTCTATGGATCGATTTGTGTATGCATTATAGTCTTTAATTATATAGACAGATAGTATTAGTTTGGAACCTCTTTCATTTTCTGCAAAGGACAGATACTTTAAATAGGAAAGGATGTTACCTGATGTGTACAGTACTGAATGGAGATTCAAGAAAGCTGAGTTCATCTGTTCCTGGTTCTGCCACAGGAAACCTTCTGTGATTTTGGGGCAACACTTTCATAATGAATATACGCAAGGAGGTCATACAAAGATTGTACAGTCATGTTTCATTTTGATGTTTCTCTCTTCTGTACATTTGACTAGTAACTTCGAAAAGAGAGAGGTCATTATAGTGTTTTTACGCTGAAGAAACTTGTGTGCCTGCACACTTTGGAATGAGGTACTATTACTGAGTTAACAGGAAGATGAGAGAAAGATAGGGTCTGGGCATCAAGAAGACCAGGGATCCACAGAGTTCTCCCCTGTGGAGTTCAGAACACACATCCATTGTTGTCCAGTTTTAGATTTTCTTTGCTTCTTGCCTCCTCTCCAGTAGGAGAGAATGTGGTATGGTGGTTGGGGAACTGCAGAGTTGTCTGTCCTACATTGTGCTATTGTAAAACAAGCAATAGAAGTTTTGTGCTTTGTTAGTAGGGACCTGGAGTGCAGACAGATTTAATGTAGATGATAATTAGGGCCAGATCTTGTACCATCTGTCAGTCACCTTAGTGTTTTCCCAAGTTCCTGACCCCAAGTCCCTGAGAAGCATTTAATGCAGAAATGGATAGATCCTGTTTCTGCTCCCCACTTGTTGTGATTCGTGAGAGACGGAAGTAGGCATGTTCAATTTTTTTTTTTTTTCAGGGACTTGAGCAACATGGAATAAGAGCACTCTTAGGCACCCAATTCCACCTAGGTGGAATACGATATTGGTCCTTCATGTCTAATACATCTCCTTTGCAATGGGTATGTTAGTTTGGATTTTCCTTTCTGACTTACATTACTAGCCAGTTTCTGGCTTTAACTTTTCAGGATTTTTTTCCTGTCTTTCTCTTTAAACTATAATCAGTTACAACAGTAACCTCTTAGGACCTGTGAGATCTTAAATTTGGTACCAATATTTCAAAGCTTTTCATAGATTTCATAGATTTCATAGACATCAGGGCTGGAAGGGACCTCAGAAGATCATCGAGTCCAGCCCCCCGCCCAAAGGGCAGGAAGTCAGCTGGGGTCATAGGATCCCAGCAAGATAAGCATCCAGTTTCATCTTGAAGGTGTTCAATGAAGGTGCTTGAACCACCTCCGGTGGCAGGCTGTTCCAGACCTTGGGGGCTCGGACAGTAAAGAAATTCTTCCTTATGTCCAGCCTGAAACGATCTTGAAGTAGTTTGTGACCATTCGACCTCGTCATCCCTTGGGGCGCTCTGGTGAACAAACGTTCCCCCAGATGCTGGTGGTCACCCCTGATAAACTTGTAGGTGGCCATCAGATCACCCCTGAGCCTGCGCTTTTTCAGGCTAAAGAGCCCCAGGGCTCTCAGCCTGTCATCGTAGGGTCTGTTTCCCTGACCTCTGATCATGCACGTGGCTCTTCTCTGGACTCTCTCAAGCTTCTCCACATCCTTTTTGAATTGTGGAGCCCAAAACTGGACACAGTACTCCAGCTGCGGCCTCACTAAGGCCGAGTACAGGGGGAGAATGACGTCCCGGGATTTGCTTGAGAAGCATCTATGGAGGCAAGCCAGCGTTTTGGTCGCTTTACTAGCCGCCGCATCGCATTGCAGGCTCATGTTCATCTTGTGGTCAATGATGACCCCCAAGTCTCTTTCTTCCATAGTGCTAGCCAACATAGCACTGCTGAGCCTATAAGGATGCTGAGGGTTTTTCTTCCCAAGGTGGAGAACCTTGCATTTATCGGCGTTGAACACCATCAGATTCTCGCCCGCCCACTTGCTGAGCCTGTCCACTGGTCACAGGACACCACGATGAGTGACTTCCATTGATTACTACCCTCTGGGTCCGACCCCGGAGCCAATTTTCCAGCCAGTGGATCGTGGAGGACCCAAGGCGACAATTGGCCAGTTTCTCCAAGAGGTGATCATGGGAAACCGGATCGAAGGCTTTTTTGAAGTCAAGATATATGACATCAATCTCTTCTCCCTTGTCCAGGTGATAGGTCACCTGGTCGTAGAAGGAAATGAGATTGGTCAAGCAAGACCTACCCGCAACAAACCCGTGCTGGCTATCCCTTAAGATGTTGGCGTCGGCCGGTCCATTAAGGATGGCCTCTTTAATAAACTTTTCTAAGATCTTACCCGGGATAGAAGTCAGGCTGATGGGCCTATAGTTAGCCGGATCCACTTTCCTCCCTTTCTTGAAGATAGGCACCACATTGGCCTTCTTCCAGTCTTTTTGTAGTGCTGCCTCTTACATGGGCCACTGGTGCCTCTTGAGTCGTGGGGACATGTGCCCCACCCTGACAGTAGGCAGTGACCGGGGAGGGGGGTCCCCCAGCGGCTGATCTCACTGACTGGATGGGGAGGGGTCCCTTGGCAGCCGATCACGCTTCCAGAAGTGGCACGGCCACTTTTGCTGGTGGCCCCGCTCCCTGGCCGGCACTCGCAGGGGGGCCACCGGTGCACCCGCCTGGCCCCTGACCCAGCTAAACAGGGAATGTGGCCTGACAGGGTGCATATGCACCCCTGTGGACCACCACTGGCCTCTTATTTTTCCAACTGCTGCAGCTACGGTCCCTAGGGCCAAGTACAGACAATCAAAAAGCTGGAGGTTGAATTGATTCGGTCTTCGCAGGTCTAAGTCTAAGATGCAAAGATGAAACTGAAAAACAACTGGACACACGTTTACCTTTTATTCAGGGAATGCAACCTGCAGTGGCTCAGGCCAGAAGCTGGGGGGGACGATGACAGGATGGACACCAGACCGGTGTGGGGGGTTCCTAGAGTATGGCTCTCTGGCGTTTCCTCTTCCTGCTGCCCTCGAGGTCTCTGGGATTTGCAGTCCAGCATCACCACATCAAGACTCTGCAGGGTCACTTATAACTTCCTCTTCCTGCTCCTAGGTGCCTCTGGGATTTGTAGTCCACAGTCACAGCTTGCAGTAACTTTCAGTAAGTTTAGCAAGGCAGCTCTGTACCGGGGAAAGGGGGTTTAACCCCCACTCCCTGGCCCCAGATTCCAGCCAGGGTTTGCCTGGGGGGGCAGTCCCTGCCTCTCCTCCCCTCCCCACTCCCCACCCCACCCCACTTTGCTGGAGTCCAGCCAGGACTGGAAAGCATGCTGGGATGCTGGGGGGGTTCTGATTTAACCTGAACCAGGAAGGGGTCTGGGACAGAAGTTTCATAACCTGATTCGACCCAAATCAGTTAAGTCTGATGCTACATTCAACTAGGCTTATCTTAAACCAGTTTCAAACTTTTTGAAACTGGTTTATGTGCACTGACCTTCTGTTCTGTTACAGGTTTAAACCCGTTTCTGATCACTAAAATCAGTTTGTGCAACTTCTGTCCCTAGCCTAGGCCCTCCCCCTCAATGAGCTTTCACTATCTGCTCCTGCCCTTGCCCCAGGGGGCAGAGTGGTGCCACCCCTGACACCAGTGGAGCCCACAGTATGGTGAAGTGGTGTGTTAGGGGTGTGACCTGGGAACCCATGACCTCACACTGGTGCAGATCCCAGGGCCACGCAACTCATGCTGGTGTAGCCTGTGTGGCATATAGCCTCTGGCCACAGTTATGCTACTGAAGGGTTGAAGTTACTTTCATCCAGTTTTGAATCCTCCTAGAGCTTTTAGAGGAAGCAGTGAATGAGCTGGAATCAAAATGGATATTTGTATGCATGTTAAATGTAAGTCTGTGTGTATATACTTGTTTGATTAAAGGGGGGGAGGGAGCGGGGGGTGGGGGGGGTCGGTGGGTGGGTGGGGGACTGAGATCCAAAAATATGCCCTACATTTAAATTCTGTGAATGTTTGCATTTGTAGCCTTGCATTCTTTGAGACCAGGCTTTAACTCAGGGGTGGGCAAAATGCGGCCCGCCAGGCCATTCTGTCCAGCCCATGGGGCCCCTAAAAAATTTAGAAAATTAATATTTATCTGGTCCTGACTGCCTGTCATGTGGCCCTTGATGACTTGCCAAAACTCAGTAAGCGGCCCTCCACCCAAAATAATTGCCTGCCCCTGCTTTAACTATTTGTGTCCTGAAAATGAAGCTGCTCAGCAAACTGCTGGTTCAGTTCTCTCACCAGCTATCTTTTATATTCAGTTATGCTAGTGAAGAGTTATAAAGTGGTTTTGATGCTTGATGCTTATAGAACAAATAAAGAAAAAGTGTGCGTGCTCCATAAAAGTACCATATCCTCTGCCTTGTTCTGTTGCACAGCCACTTCAATTTCTGCTTGTGATCATGAGATGCTCTTGTTTTTCCTCTTGTTTTGTGTGCTAGTTTCTCTTGTATTGTGAAGGAACTCGTTTTACAGAGACCAAGCATCGTATCAGCATGGAGGTAGCTGCATCCAAGGGGTTGCCTAAACTTAAATATCATCTGTTACCCAGAACCAAAGGTTTCACCACTGCAGTCCAGTGTCTCAGGGGAACAGGTATGGGCTAGCTTTCCTTTGATCTTAACAGTACTAGCTTCTTGGCCTGTTGCAGGCTCAGATCAAGTGTAGTACCTGATGATTCAATATACTCCTATTTGGTGAAAATACAGACTCATTACAGCAATTTGACTTCATTAATATTACTTTGAAGCACTTGACTCCTTGATGAGCAATCTTTAAAATGCATGACTGTTCTAGTTTTAATTTGCACAAATTAATATTTTACACCTTTTAAAGTACCAATATATGAACATGCATCAAACTCTTGCTATACTCTTGTGAAGCATTTGCAAAATAGGATAAATTAAGTAGCAGTCTGGTTGGTTACACCTTATGGATTAAACTATCGGCAGTATTTGTCTAACTGACATCATTAAAGCAGTGTTTGCTTCAGTTTGTTTTTATTTAAAGTTTGAACATGGGCAAGCTGGATGCATGGAAGACTAAGATAATGACTGTATTCTTTTTTCTTGCAACAGTTTCAGCAGTGTATGATGTAACACTAAACTTCCGAGGAAACAAGAACCCCTCTTTACTGGGAATCCTTTATGGAAAAAAATACGAAGCAGATATGTGTGTGAGGTGAGCACGGATTGACTGGTGCAAGACCCAGGGGGCTTGTGTTCTGGATACTAAAATGTTTCCAGGTCTGGTAGGGAAATGTTACTTTTCATCATCACCCCAGCACTGTCCTTCAGGTTCCGTTGCATGTCCCAAGGAGCTTACCATGTCCTGTGCTTCAAACTGTTTCCTTTTTTAAAGATCCTAGGTCTTGCCCATCACTTAAAACGTTGGTGATGGCCTAGACTTTCATCACCATGCAACTTTCAAGAGAGGGCATGAACAGTCCTTTAAATCAGTACTTGCCATCTTTTAAAAAGTGAGGGCATCTCCTCCTATTGAAAAACCATGTCCACTTAGCAGAACATATCTTGTGAATTGTGTAGAACTTCAGAAGACTGTATTTTCTTGCACCCTTTTCCCCCAAATCAACCCTCCCCTCCACACCTCCTCCTCTTCCAGTGTGTGTGTATTAAGCAGGGAAGATGGTTTTCCCTGATTTTCTGATCAGGATAGAAGCACCCTGCTTTGATATCTGCTTCACAGTACATCACTATTTAGGCAGAGGGAGTCAGTTGATTTAATGGCTCATTGCTTTGACTTAATGGCTCATTGTTTTTTATTCCACATGTGTTAACGATTCTCTTTCGTTTTTAATGATCTTTGTGTTCCTGGTCTCTCTCCTCCTGTTTCACAGCCTTGGAGACTCTCCAGTTCTTTTCAAATTCACATGTGCCCAACACTTGCTCCAACACATTCTAATTAGAACGCATTGGAGCAGACTCAAAATTAGCACACTCCAGCAGCCTCGGCATCATGTGTATTCAGGACAGTGTTCCCACACTTCAAAATGGCAGTGCGGGCACTTTAACTAAAGCTCGTTGAATTTGCTTTAGTTAAATTGCCCCCGCTGCCTTTTTGAGGTGGGGGTGCTGACTACATGAGATGCTGAGGGCACTTTAATTAGACTAGCTCCTGGGTTTCAGCTTTAGTTCAGTGGGACAGGAGAGGATGAGTGAGTTGAAGATTAGGCTCTGTACTTGTTCTGGGGAGCCATAACTCTGGGAAAAAAACTTTTTCCTTCATTCTGTCTTTCAAAAACAAGGGGAATATTATATTCTGGGCTATATTTTATGTAAGAAAATATTGCTTGTTTCCTCTCTCTCTCTGGTTTTTATTAGCAATAAAGCAGTGACATTTGTATAACATAATCATAAGCTTTTCATTAGCAGCTGCTGAAATGATAAGAGGCAGTTCATACTTCACTTATTTTTTCAGGCCTTCTGCTAACTCAGAAGGGGTCTCTCAGCTATTGCCTTCAACTTTCTAACCTGGGACTATACCTGGATTTTTATTTATGAAAGAAAAAGAAAAGAAAAAAAGCTAAGACTTGTGAGTGACTGAAAGGTCTGTCTATGTTGTCCATTTTCCCCCCACAGCCAGCCCTCTGGGCTTCCCAGGTAATGCTGCTTCTACTTTAGGAAATGCTCTGTTGGACAGCCTGCTGCTACAAAACCTGAAGCACCATTTTTTTTCCTTTTTAAACATCCCTTGAGTCTTTTGTAGCCAGCAAATCATTGGCATAGCTTATTTTTTCTTTTTGCTAAAAAATAGCTGTGTTGTATCTAATAGTGATGGAGAGGACTTCATGGGGAACTCTCACTTGTACCTTCAACACTGATTTAGCTGCAGCAGTTTTGCTAACTATAGAGTTGTTATCCAAGAAGTGGGTCAAATGCTTAAAGCCATAGCTGTGGAGGATCTTTCATTCCAGTCCTATTCCCAGGTACTTAGGTAACTTATACAAAAATTTATTCTTTTCTCTGAATTTTCTGTACATCTGTTCAGAGCCCAGAGTTGAGGATGGATAGGAGCATAGTTACATTCAAGAACAACTTCAGAAGATTTTTCAGATCCTAGTCTTATAACTATAGAATTTGAAAATCTCATTCTTCACATTTGTCACACTTAGTTTGGTAAGCACTGATGGGTAGAGTTTAGCTGATATGAATCTGGTCATAGACTACATGCTTCCATCCAGTAACTAAAAAAGAATGACGTGCCAACAGACGTGGCTTAGGTTAATGAAAACAAGACAGATGCGCTCATGCTCTTAGTACAGAGTGTGCTGTTCCATCTACATAGGTGTGATGCACATATTTGCAAACTTTGCAGGTCTTCATTGGTTTGTAACTTAGTCCATGGACTTGGATCCATGGAAATTACCAAAGTGTTCTTTTTGGGAGCACCATCTAGTGATGATTTGAGAACAATGGTGGCTTTGGAAAATATTTTTTTTCCAATAAAAGTTTAGTTTTTAACTGTGCAACCTCTCCCTTCCCTCCCCAACCCCACTCAGGATAGAAAACTAAGCAGCATTTAGTAATTGATTTAGGAAGGCTGCTCATCTATGATTTGTGGCATTCAGGGAAAACATCCATTTTTTTCTTTTTTCTTTTTTTTACATTTGATGTGTGTATAAATAGCTGACCTGGTCATGGGCAAGCCATCTTTCTTGTCTTCCTTCATCAGTGCCTTTTCTGCTCACTCAAAGGGGCACAGACTCTTTAACTTTTATCCCTCCAGAAGGTGCTACATAAATTGCCAGGATTCAGTCATCCGTAGTTTTGATTTTGCCAACTGAGCTTTGCAAAGCATCCATTTGCAGAACTTGGTGTCTGACCAATACCAGTTGATTCACTCCCAAAGCAGTGCTCCTTCTCAGAATGGCCTGTTCAGTTTCCTTACTCCTGCTGCAGCAAAGGCATAGGCCTTAGTTAATATGACCCAAATGTATTATTCAGTTTGGCTTTCTTATAGAACATTAGGGGCCAGGTGATGTCTCAGCTGATCTTGTGGTCTAGAGCACGGGTGGCCAACCTGCAGCACATGTGCCACAAGTGGCATGGACAGCCTCTGTGTGTGGCATGCAGCAGATCAGGGAGGGGCCAGGCCGGACAGCAGCAGATAGGGCAGGAAGCAGAAAGCAGAGCAGCGGAGTGGGCAGAGAGCAGAGCAGGCAGGGAACAGTGAGTAGAGCAGCAGTTTGGGCACGGAAAGGGGTTTGGTGTGACACTTGCGGAGAGTGTGGTGTGCCTGCCGAAAAGGTTAGTTCCCACTGGTTTAGAGTTTCAAAAAAAGGTGGGTTCTTAACTCTTGTTGCTCTGTTACGTAGATTGTCAGATAGTATCCTGCTACCCATGAAATATTTATCTGGGGTAAAGCGAGGGGGTAACTGCAGCCTCTACTTAGTTCTACAGATGTGCAGGATGGTGTTAAAGATGCACCATTTGTTTTAAAGAATGTAATGAAGTTCACTCTTAGAGCTTAAAGGAATGGTGAAAGCTGCTATTAGGCTGAATTGTGTGGTTTACAAGACTGGGACTGGCTGTTCACTCATTGAATGAGAACCCTAAAATACTGTTATTTCAGGTTGGGCTGAGGGTACTGTTCAGAAATATTTAATGAGCTAACCCTGTCTGTACCCAGAATTTGATAGCTTGCTGTGAGCCTACCAAACTTGGTGCAGTTCAGGTTTTTTTGGCCTGCAAATCAATAGCAAATAGTCCCAGAACATATGTATACATTGTAAAACAAGCAGGATGGTGCTAGAATGGGGTATATTTTGGGCCTGGTGACTGATACAAAGCAGAATGATTGGGAGGGCAGAAGAGTGGAAGGAAATCTGGATTTTTGCCAGAAGCCAAAGGGAAGGGATGAAGAGAGGAAATGTTTTGTATCACTTTTTGAATTGTTTTAAGCTAAAAGAAGATAGTTTTTCATTTCAAGTCATTAATATTATGCGGTTCTGCTTTCCAACCTTTTTACTTCCAAAAGAACCCTAGAAGTCACACTTACATGCAGGGTTGAGCCATAACCAGGCCCCAACAGTCTCGAGTCATGTACTTCAGGTAACTTTGTGTGTGCAATAAAAAGCTGCTCTTTTCTGCGTAGGTTTTATCTTGGTATTTTAGTGCATTTAACTCTTTGGATCTTTTATTTGGTATTTGAGCCTCTTGTAGGCTTTTGTAAGGACAGTCATGGTTCATGGTCTAGATTTGTATCTGCTGACTTATATTCAGGAAGGGAAAAGTGTGTTTTCCTAAAATTAAACCTGAAAGTATGGGGTCAGTTTATGTTTAAAAACAAACAAACAAAAAAATAAAAATGGCGCTTTATTGAAAACTCATGTTCCTGCACAGAGCCTAGTGCACGCCCAGAAGAGACAGCACATTAGTTGGACCCAGCACGCCCAATGTCTGTATAGATCTGGCACTTTAGCAGGGCTTTTTTGGTCCTTTTAGCTAATACCTGATTGAATCAGCTATTGGATAAAAGCATCAAAAAGCCATGCTGAAGCACCCAATCTATACAGACACAGTGGAGCTGGGTTCACGTTATGCTCTACTTTTTGCGGTAAAGCGCGGTTTATTTGTTTTCACGTCTGCAAGCAGCCCTAGAGTTTACTGGGATTCAACTATGGGTAGGGTAAGTGTGTGTAATATTTGTTTCACTGAGGTGCCCTGAAATTGATAGCAAAATGTACAAGTACTTTCTTTCTCTTTAGGAACATGAATTTTAAGGTAGAGACTGAAATTTTAACATGCAATTCTTATCTATATTTAGACAAACTCCAATTTCAGTTTGTGCTGTGTATTGAATGGCAACATTTTGCCTGAACAGCTCTACACTAAGATAGATATCTAGGTTTTCTTTTAAGACTCCTTTTTTTAAATCTCTTTAATAAACCAGGAGATTTCCTCTTGAAGATATCCCTCAAGATGAAAAGGCAGCTGCAAACTGGCTTCATAAACTTTATCAAGAAAAGGTAAATGGATTTTCTTTCTTTCAGAACTTTTGCGAAGTAGTGTTTTAAGGTGCTGTATGTCAAAGCTGAGTGGTGCACACTTGACCCCCAGAAGGAAAGCGGAAATGGGAGTACTATGTATAACTTGGCAGCTACCCCTCATCCTGATATCAGGAGCACTGCTGGCAGGCTCTGAAAAGAGCCTCATTTCTTCCTCCTTGACCTCAGAATAGTGGCTACTTTGTAGGTTTCAAGTGAAAGGAAGTGCTATGGGATTCTGCAAAGACTTATGGAGTCATCCTCTCCCCCTCCCCCGCACCCCTTAGGGGGAAGAGGATGCTTAATCTGCTCTCTTTTTGTTTTGTGCTTCAGCTGCTGGGTCCCATTCACAAATATAGATGCAGGATAATTCTAGATTAGAGATAACCAATCCTTCTGGAGTGAGGCTGGGGAGCACAACTGTTTTGCAGCTCTTTGGTCTCCTATCTTATATTGCAGGGGTTCTCAGTCTTTTTTGGGCCTGAGACCCCCTCCATAACTTTTATGAATTGAGTGGCACCCAATTTCAAAAACTAATTTATATATTTTAGTGCTTACCTCCTTACAGAGGGGCTGGGCAGTGGGAGTGGGGGATCCACCAGGCAGGAACAAGCCTGAACCTGTGCTTATCTGCTACCTTACTTATTTCCTCCTACCTCCTGACACCCTTCAAGGATCTGGCAGCACCCCGGGGTGCCACAGCACCCTGGTTGAGAATCATCACTACATTGCCTTTCATCACTTGCCTCCCTCAGAGCTCTGCTGCCACATTGGATAAGATGTACATAGTTTCCTTGATTTGCTGTCGGAGCTTAGAAGCAGTGTATAGACCATATGCTCCTACGTTTTTTCTCGACTCTTTTTCCTAGCTGGTAAATTTCTTGTCTGCAGACTTAATAGCTGCAGAGCGGGGGAGAGAACTGTATGTAGTGTTGCCCAGCCCTTATACAGATTGGACTGGTATACTTCAGTTTCTCTGTTTTGAAATGCAAATCTTGATTTTTTTTGTGCTGCTTGTGTTGGGAAAGTAGCGGAGCACAGAAACCCTGGCACTCCTAGCTTTCTTCTGCTTTGGTGTGACCTGTACTGCAGCATTTCCAAAGCTACACTTAATCTGTAGGCAGACACCAAATTGTTCATAAGGTTCTTAGAGGTCTCCTTCCATGGTTTCATTTTGTTCTTTTAAACTTATGTGTTTTGAGTATTTAGGATCTAAAATAAATTTTGGGAGGGTGGGGTTGTTTACAAACAAAACGAGTTGTCTTGCCCCTCCCCCTGACCTCTATGGTAAATGTGTTGTATTGAAAAGCCAGCTGATATGAGGACGCGCTCATATGTGATCATCCCTAATGAAATGGCCTGGTTTGGTAAATGGATGTTGATGTACTTTTTTCATTTTGCTTTCTTGTCTGTGCATCTCTTCTTCGTGTATTATAAAATTAAACAGCCACAGCCTACAGCATGCTATTTCACTTGGTTCTGTTCTTTGAAATGCTCTAGTTGTAGTAGAGGATGTGATATTTCTTGCTTATGTTGGCTGTACTTCTATTCAGCTCTGGAGTCAAACAGTCAAACGTTGTTTGAGTCTCTTTGCACACACTGACCTCAGTGGATGAAGAGAATCTACTGTAACTGGAATCTCTAAAGTGCTCATTTTGAACAAAAAGTATGTTCCCCCAAAAGGATTATTACTTAGAGGGAATGCCTTGATCTTGTTGTTTCTTAGAAACAAAGGCAAAAACAACAGCTGGTTAAATAACCATTTTTGTTACTGCTGTGCAGTTTATCAATCCTTGTTTTAAAGGTAAGATATAATTTAGTTGATGATTCTCAGCACTACACTTTTTTCCAAGAACTCATCCTGGGCTTTTTGTTGCCAAGGCTGTGGCTTCAGCGTTTAAGCTTTTGAGTGCAAAATGAGCCTCAGTATCTTCATTTTATAGGAACTTTTCAACCCTGGTGGTTGGCTTGTGCTTGGTCTTCCACAGGCTCCAAATGGAGCACCTCTGCAATTCTGATTAGATTATTTGGGCCTCTGTATGATTATTTTCACAGAAAGGAAGAGCCAGTGAGCAGCCACAAATATACAGGTGGGAATTAGTTCTGAGAAGATCTTTGGGGCTAGGTCTTCTCTGAATTGTGAAGAAAATGACAACAAGCAGCTGGGTATATGGCAGAAGAAGCTCATGGTGCTGGGTTTTTGTTTTTTTGCTGCATTTATTTCTTGAATAATTTTTTTAAAATTTTCCTTCCAGGATGCTTTACAAGAGATGTATAATCAAGAAGGCATTTTTCCTGGCCAACAGTTTAAACCTCCTAGAAGACCTTGGACACTTCTAAACTTTCTCTTCTGGGCTACTGTCCTCCTCTCTCCTCTCTTCACATTTGCTTTTGGAATTTTTGCAAGTGGATCACCACTTCTTATCCTCGCATTCTTGGGATTTGTTGGAGCAGGTAATGGATGTTGAGAGGATGCCAAAACACAATAAGACATAATGCAGGTCATTAGCTAAATATATTCTGAGTGAAATTATTATCCATGGGATTTACAGAAATGTGTTCTGGGTTGATATTCAGAGCCAGTTCCCAGGTTGATTTGTTCTTCTTTTTTTGTGCATAGCATTGTACACGCAACTTAAATCCAGGCAATTTTGTCTCTTTATTTTTGAAGTGTTATATAATGTACTAATATTCACACAATTACCCCTTTATGAGGGCAGTTACACATTGTCAGAGCAATACCAAGGAGTTTGCATTGCTGTTGCTAGTCCTGACTGTGTATTTTCTGTGGTTAACTGATTACTTCAACTTTGAGGCTGACAGGATGGTTTCTTCTAGCAAATAAGCGTTGATTACATTTTAATTTTTTTAATCTGGTCTGGCCAGTGGTTTAATGATCTTTAGCACATGTAACTGGTTCACAGTTTCAGTAAGGGGATGCTGCAGGCATGGATCAAAGCTACATATTGTTAGTAGACACTGCTGATTTCTGAATTTGTTGCCCTCAATATCTAAAAGTCCTGCATGCCACCTAATCTGCTCTGTATGCACGTGTGTGTGTAAATTTTTTCATTGTTAAATAAGCTGTAATACACCTCCTGTTTCTTTTATTATGTTTTAAAGCTTCCTTTGGAGTTCGTAGACTGATAGGAGTAACTGAAATAGAAAAAGGCTCCAGTTATGGCAACCAAGAATTCAAGAAAAAGGAATAACTGACAGCTGCAGCTCAGCACATATAGCCAGACTATGGTATCAAATTAACTTCATTAAAAAAAAAAAAAACACTTAGAAACTATCTTTTTTTTCCTTAATAAGTGGTGACTAATATTAATGAATAAAACTTGAGCCAAGAGTGAAAAAAATAGAAGAATCAAGAGAAGAGAAAACATCAACTTTTCTGCCTGTTTAAGGAGCATTGTATTCAAACTTTGAGAGAAAATCTGGGCTAAAAAAATGATAACCTTGCTTTGTCTGTGTTTGGGGGTGAATATTGGATGCTGCCACATGCTTCTTCAGATGATCTATCTCACTCACTTGGCAACAGGAGCCGTTGAACGTTTCCTCTTGCTATAGCCAATTTAATAGTTGTTATTTTTTTCCAACATCTCGTCTTTTTTAATGGTGAGGATAATCCAGAAAAGACAACCCATTGTAAATTAATTGATAGCTCTTTCTTAGGTGAAAGCCACTGGAAAAGCCATTTCTTTATGGCTACAGACAAAATCCCATTTGTATATGTTTTACTGAAGGTGCTTTTTATTTTCAGGCAACATCTTTTAACATCTGTACCACATGAAAATGGATAATAGAATTTTGATGAGAACTGTACTTTACTGATAAGCACACACTGTAGATCAAATTAACTAGTATTAATACAATTTAAATCTTCCCCCAGCATCATGCTACCTGTTGCACAAAACTCCATAATACCCAACATACTACTTGTGTTCTTGAGCATGGTTTGCCCTGTTTCACACTTTGCATATATTTATGCCTCAGATCTTGTTTTGGTTTTCTGTTTGTTTGCTTTTTGTTTTTAAGTGAATTGTTACCCTGCGATTTGGGCCTGTTCTAAGGAGGCTATTAACTTAGTTGTCCTAAGGTCCTCCTTATTTCTGTTTGTGTTTTATCACCACTGAATTCCCATTTCACTGTTTTTTCTCAGGAGACTGTTACAGGAGATAACCAGCATAAACTGTGGAGCAACCTTGAAAAGGTCTTTCTTTTCTTTTTGTAACAACTTGAAAAGGAAGGGTCTGCAGCAATCAGGATTCAAATCCCAGCCACTCTGAATTTAATGGCAGTTTCTGCCATTTTTTTTTAGCAGGGCCAGGATTTCACCTTATATGTGCTAACATATATATGGTGGTCTGTGTTGTGTTTCTTAGCTGACTTTGTTAGGAAACACTGTGAAGTATTTGGTGGGTGAGCTATGCTGTTAGAACTGAAAACCACTAGAGTGAGTTTTGGGTATCTTCAGGAATTTTTAATATCTCCAATTATGATCACTTACTGCTGATCACAACTTTGGCTGTTACCTACCTTTGTCCAAATGCACATCCTGGGATCTTGTAGGCTGCTGCTGTGCGTGCAACCTTGTGGCCATTCATAAATATGTGGGAACCTTTGCGTATATTTTCAAGTCTGAAGGTCAAGTTCTGCCCTTGGCTGAACTCCAGTAGAGTCAGTGGGAGTGCCTTCCACAGGTATAAATGAGAGCAGAAGATGGTCCTGAAGGTCCATGTGTGAGACATTCACTCTCCTCATACCCCAAGCTCTGTTAGAAAGTTTCTTACTTTTGTAAAGACTGGGTCTCATTAAAGTGCTGGGTTTTTTTTTCCCTTTGCTCAGTAGCCAAGGGTAAAAGACAGGTGCTATTTTACCCCTTTCACATTTTCTAACAGCTGAAGTTTAACCTCTTCTCCCACAGGGATTTGCCTACAAGGATTTTTTTTTAGCTTCAGGCTTTACACTAGTGATTTTCTAGCTTAGAGAAGTCCTTTATTTGTTGGGGGGGCGTTAATAATCACTCCTGTCATGCACCTGACTGTCCATTTGGGAGTCTCTTAATGAGATGATTTTTGCAGGGTTTTTTATTTAACCCAGTTCAGCACTGCACTGGCAATGCTGGTGTTAGTATGTCATGCTTCCAAAGCAAATAAGTCTGCCCTGAAGTAATGGTGCACAACTCTTACTAGTGGCAAGCAAAGCTGAACATGTGCTTCAAAGAGGCAGAAACCAGCTAGGATTTGGGGATGGAGGATGGGGTTTTCTTTTGTATTGGGCACTTTGTGCACTCACTTTTTAAACAAAATTAGAACTCTGAATGCTAATAAACAGAAGTCTCTGGTTTTATTTGATGTTTTCTGACCAGAGGACCAAAACAGGGTGGCTTGCTATTATTATTTTAGGTAATTGGGTAACAGCTGTAACTTTTGCTTGTTAGAAAGATTTTACAGATGCTGTACACTTGCTTTCTGAAGATGCTACTGAGCTTATTTAAATTGCAGTTGCTTCGTAATGAGCAAAGTAGGGCTTGCAAAGCAGAAAGACCACTGGCTATGTTTTTCAATTACCCATGAGCAGAACCTAACGTAATTCCCTTTCTTAATAATTGGGGGGGGCAAGGCGGGGGATGCAGTCTAAAGGAGGAAAAGTTAAAATTCCCTTCTCTGTATTGGGGGACTTGTCTCCTCTTAGTGCATATAATTCCAAGTTAGATCCAATGGGATTAGTGCATGTACATTAAGGGGAGAATAGGCATGTTTCATGTGTTTCCTTTTTTATTATCATAACATATTGGCCATGCATTTGTTTTGAAAGTATAATAAAAAATATTATTGTTTACAAAATTTTGGGTCTTCTAAGCAGACATATCGGTAACAATTTGGAAATCTGAAATGTACAACAGTGCACAGAGCAGGTCACAAAATCATGCAAAAAACCTAATCTTTCATTGAACTTCCTTCGTTTCTTCAAGTAAGTTTTTTATATATCTATATCTAAATATACAGAATGTGTATAAATTAACATGATTGGAAATAGCTGCAGTAAATGTGTCTAATGAAGAGTAGCAGGTGGCTTGAATTGGAAAAGTGAGCATAGATTTTATATCTTACACTCTTCTGGTTTAATAGAATATAGCTTGTATATTTGACTACCAAGCCCTCTGAGAGCAATAATAAACAAAAATATATCATGAAATTTTTTGTCTTTGATTTGCACCCATGAGGTCCACACTGTAATTACATTTAGGAATCTGAAAGTCTTTCCCCCCCTACCCTATTCATCATTTAAAGCTGTAATTGCTGTTTGCACTTTTTGACTAAATTTCAAATTCTCCAGTTATTAACATGAAGGCTCAGTGGAGCTTTTTCTATGCTGACTTTTTTGGAGCTTAGTCATAATTCAAAAGACACATAGTTTAACAAAATGTGGACAGATCTCAGATGCTGGGCTATGACAGCCTCCTATCATTGGGCATGCAAGGGGAAGTCACGTCCTCTCACGTTTTCAAGTGCTGTTAAGGGATGGCATGATGCTGACCCTCTTGGCAGCCTTCTCAAGATTCTCTCTTGCTGACCATGGGCCAACTGTGGTCAATAGACTGCTCTTGCAACTGGCTTTGTGTCCCACTGAGTCAAGTGTTTCTCTCAGGCACAAAGAGCGTAGACAATGTCTTTGTTCTGCTCTAAACTACCTTGAAGGGCTCTAAACTTAATTGTGGTTAATGAATGGGCTTATATGCCTTTTCCTAGTTGTGTAGCATTCATGGAAAAAGTGAACAGCTGCAACCTGACATTCAGTTATATTAATTTCTGTTGGTCATCTTGTCTCCATCTCCCAATTTATACAAGTTTGCTAAGTCAACAGCTCTATTCTGATGCCTCCTGTCAAATTCAGGGGCTTTCCAAAATGCCTGTTGCATTTCAGCACATTTTCTTGTAAAAAGTTACTATGAGTAGCTGTGAATTTTTGTCTTCCTGTCCCTCAGGATTGTTTAGCAAGTTTGATAGGTATGAAATAGTGTATGTTTGAGTCTTAAGTATGTTCATAACTCAACATCACTGATACAGAGCACAGGCCTGTTGCAGGAAAGCATGTCATTTAAGAAGACTGTTCACATAAGTCTATCATTATTTAGTACCTGATCCTTCTGACATGAGCTAGACTAATATGAGGGCATTAGTTTGTTATTACTTGGTGTGGGTATCATTAACCAACAGACCAAGAGTGTGGATTTCTTGTAGTTGAGGGGGCAGTCCCTGGTGGGGAGTATCCAAAAAGCTTTCTGTTTTGACTTTAGGCATTTTTGCTTAATAAATGGTCGTTTTTATGCTGAGTTCAAATTGGTCAGAATGCTTTGAGTTGTTCCAAGAAGTCAGGTAATAAAATACCTGCGTCGTTTGCTGTCTCTTAGCCAGATGCGTGTCAAACGCATCCAAAATAGTTTTGTCCCAAATAATTGTCATTTAAATAAATAGGCCAATTTAAATGTGCAAATTGAATCATGGCCTTCTCTTGTTAGCAGTGCATTTCCCTTTGGGGTTTGGATGCACACACAGTGAGCGCATCTACATGAGATACTTACTGTGGAGTTGCCTAATTAGCCCCGCAGTAAAGCATCACCATCTACATGAGTGGTGCTATTAAGCCAGAGCAAACTAATTAATTCTGCCATAAGATAGTACTGCCTGAAACAAGTACTGCTCTATGGTGGAGTTATTTACTCCACTGCAGTGCACATGTAGATGGTGACTGGGGCTGGCTGGGGTACGAGGGTGCTACATTGCAGGGCTGCCTGCCAGCTAGCCCTGCGCTGTACCACCCTTGTGCTCCAGCCAGCCCCTCTGCAGCCATGTTGAGCTAGGCAGGAGCAGCCCTGGACTGGCAGGCTGCTGTTCCCTGGCTCAGTGTGCTGCAGTTCCAGATGCATATGTAAACTGCACCTGAGTTTATTGCATCACATTAAGAGTCGCATGTAGATGTACCTAGTTTAGCAACTGTTGGGAACCAGTAGCTGTTTTACTAGTTCTGGGTTGTGGCTTTTAGTATAGGCTCATCCACTTGACTTTAATACTAACTTTGTGCTCAGTGTGCCACAGCTGCTCCCTTCCTGTTCATTTGCTAGTTTCTCTAACCCATGATGGAGCTTGGACTGCTCCAAGCCCTGGTGCTGTATGACGCTGGGCTTTGAAGCTCATAAAGGCCATGTTAAGGGTTGGAGCTGAAGAATGAAGGGCACTGACTGGTATCACTGAATTATTCATCTGGGAAACTGGAACAACTGACAGAAAGTTTGGAAAACAGAGTTAGTTTTGTAGGCATGTAAAGGACCAAATTCTCATCATTGTTGTGTCAGAATTAATGTTCAATAATTCCACTGCAATCAGTAGAGAAACTTGATACACTGATGTGACCAGGATCAAAATTTGTTCCCAAAAAGTGTCTGTCCCCTTAGCATAGTTAGATGCTGGTCTTGGAATCTAGGTTCGTATTTTCTTGACTTTCTCAACACTCTGTGCACCAGTTCATTTCACATCTGAGTCAAATAGCTTTTCTGCCTGCCACCATATTTTGGGATTTCTGAAAGCCTGACAGTGGCAGATCCTGTGCAATGTTTGCCAGCCATTAGAAGATGCATCTCTTGGAATCTGGTCATTTGTATCATAAGGAATCCTCTGGCAAGATAGTGAATTGCTGTCCATAAACCAGCATGTCACAGCTCGGTTTTTGCTGACCTCTGGTTTTGAATTTAAGGAACACAACTTTGAAAATCACACCTGTAGGTATAACTTTTTAAACATGAAGTACATGTAACACCTCAGCTCTACTACTGAGGGAAAGTTAGCAAAACAGTTCCTAGTTTAACTTTGACTTTGGAGAGCACTTTGTATAGTCAATTGTCCTTTGCTGAAAAGATCCTTAGAAACAGTAAAGTAGTAAAAACAAAATTACCTTTTTTTTTAAAGGGAATATGCTAAAGAATCAGGACATATGATTTAACAGGGACTGTCAGAGACTGGAATTTTAAAAATCAATTAAAAAAAAATTCAGGTGGTCAATGTCCCTTGAGGAGGAGAACGCTACAACTTTTCAATCTTATTTGTCTCATTTCATTTATAAATTTTCTGTCAAGATATATTTTTAAGAAAGAGCAATTTTAACTTAATTTATGAACCTTCTTTTTAAATTAATGTCTAATTTGGGGGTCTTTGTTTAATTGTATTTTTAGAAGCACGAAATTGTTTCTCAGCTTTCATTTGTTTTCCACACGCACGCACACACATGCACATGCCCACACACACACACATGCTGTACCCAATATATTCCTTGCTTCTGCTGTCTCAGAACTGTGAGTTGTGACATCTGAATGCTACTTGCTTGAAAGCCAGTAAGGTACTGTAAACTGGCATGTTAGTCATAAAGATCACCAGCAAGTACTGTAGCTTTAATGAAAAAAAATTCTTTGAGAAAGCTAACCATCATTAACCTAATTGATTGTTACAAACCTGTGATTTATTTTTGTTAACTTCCAGACATCATTATTAGCCAAAACAACTGAGTAATAAAACTGTATACAGGGTACAAATTTACTGTGCATGTGTATATATTTTTGTACATTTTTTACAGTTATTTCCTACGCGCAATTTTATGCGATTCAGAAAAGCTGCACTTAAATCTGTTAAAAGTTAGTAGTAAAACAATCTCTCCTACTATCATTTCTGAAAAACTGTCCCAAACTAGTGCACAGATTTACAGTGCTATGCAAATATTACATTGTAAGTTTTCTCTTAAATTTGCTTAAATAGTTCATGGCTGTTTTTACTGAGCTTTCAGAAAATGATTAATGCAAAAGACACATCTTGTTGTAAAATAAAATAGCTTTGGCTGTGTGGAAGCATCATCTATTAGAACTTCATTTATGCTTTTAGTTCATTTTAACTGTTGTAAGTGACTTTCTGTATATAACATTTGTTTGCATTTGTGCTTATTGAAAAGCAGGAACAGTCATGTAACATTTGCTTTCAGGTCTGTTACTGTATAGGGTATCTGACATTTAAATGGAAGACCCATGGTTTTTTTTCTGATTTGGCTGACTAACCAATTCTACAAAGAGATGCATATATTTAATATGTTTCCTTTTAGTTGCTTTGTTTGGTAATTTGTCACTTTTCCTTCTAGGCCCTGATCCTGTGAGCTGATCCACGCAGATGAGACTCCTCCACCATTGTCAGACTGTGTTGTCTTCAGTGGGGATTCCCCTGTGCAGATCATCTTGCAGGATGTGGGACCCTAAGTATAACTAGCACATTAACCCAGGGGTCAGCTTTCCAGCCTGGGGCTGCT